GATCTTGCTAACCTGAGGCTCAGCCTGTCTGAGAATGATGCCAACCCAGAGAGATGAAGCGAAAGAAACCAGGTGGCATCTTTTGAAGCCCTATATCAAGCTGTGCCTGAAGCCAGTCCTACCCTTGAACTTCTCAGTCACATGAGTCAATAAATGCCCCTTCTGCCCAGCCAGCTTGGACCTATCACTCACAAAAGAAAGAATCCTGATTGATACCGCAGAGGAGGTTTTTGAAAGTTATTGGCCTGAAGTATACAAAGAGTTTATGCAGAAAAGAGAAACCAGCCCATTTATGCAGACAGAGGTCTTGTGACAAAGGTGGACACCGAGTGGCAGTTCTCTCCCTCTGCCCCAAGAGGTAGACTACAGACCGTGACAGATCACCAACCTGCTCTCAGCCATCACAGCCCCTCCCCAAAGCCCCTAGGAATTCGAGTGAGGAAACAGACCGAATCTTCTTCCATCCTGAGTTAGGAGTAAAACCCCTGGCTTTTCACTCAGCCTCAGCTACTCTGCTGTGCAGCCCTGGGCTAGATTATTGACCTTTCCAGCCCATTTTCACCATGAGAAAATAGGGAAGGAGGGAAGGGAGAGGGGATAATCTAGGCCATTCACAGGACAAACTGAAATAAAATGCAGCCCAAAGCTTTGGGTCAGGAATCCCGGTTTTACTGTGCTGATATCTGAAAATAATTCAATTTGGCTATCAGGCAGGAAAAGGCCAGTTATCAAATTTAGTCTTTTCAAGATCATAAATACAGCCAGAACTTAACAAAAACTGTTTAGTTTGATGGAGATAGTCTAACCATTCACTCCCAAGGGGCAGGGAGGGATCTAAACTACCTGCTGGGGGCAGGGAGGGGCAGTTACCATATTTCATCAATTCTGAGACACCTACATCATCACATTTTAGCATCTCTGAAATGTCATAATTTAACTTGTAAAATATTTTTATAGGATCTATAGGGACACTATGAGTTGGAATCGACTCGACAGTGATGGGTTTTTGGTTTCGGTTTATGCAGAACATAAAACCAAAAAAACCAAACCCATTGCTATCGAGTCGATTCTGACTTACAGCGACCCTGTAGGACAAAATAGAACTGTCCCACAGGGTTTCCAAGGCTGTAAATCTTTACGGAAGCAGACTGCCACATCTGTCTCCCGCGGAGCAGCTGGTGGGTTCGAATCACCAATCTTTCAATTAGAAGTCGAGCGCTTAACTACTACACCACCAGGGCTGCTTCTGGTACATAAAATAGGGCACGTAAAATAACTGATGGCATCTTAGACTCAGTGAAACAAGACACATCTTCTCCGCAGTGCTGCCAGGGTCATGTCTAAAACACACATCCCATCCTGTCACTCTTCTGCTTCAAAATGCCTAGCTGAGCTGCAAACTACAAAGCAGAGCACATAAGGCCCCCACAATCTGGCTCCAACTTATATGTCCAGCCTCAAGTCCTGCTTCTCCCCATCTGATGCTCCAGCTACTAGATACAGTGAACTGGGAAGACACCCTCTTTTTCACTGTCACCATCCCCCCATACCCTTGTATGTGCTGTTCTCTTTGCCCCAAAGGCCCTTCATCCACCTTCTTGCCCTGGCAACCTGCAGCTCATCCTTGAAGGCTTGCATCTAATACATCCCCTTAACTGCGAGGTCCTTCCTGTCCCCATCCCACCTCCAGTGAATCCCTCCCTCGGTTAGTTCCTAAAGCTCTGCATACACTATATTTCTATTATAGCACTTATCATGCTGCTTCATAATTGATGTTTTTACCAGTACTTCCCCTCAACCAGAACGTGAGCCCAAGGAACATGCCTCGCTCATCTTTTTATCTCCAGTGCAAATGGTTAAGCGCTCAACTACTAGCCAAAAGGTTGGCCACTTGAACGTACCCAGAGACACCTCGGAAGACAGGCCTGGTGATCTGCTCCCGAAAGGTCACGGCCTTGAAAAACCTATGAAGCACAGTTCTACTCTGTACACATGGGGTCACCATGAGTTGGAATTGACAGGAGGGCAACTAACAACAGAATCTGGTACAAACTAAGTAGTCTGTAAATGCTTGTGAAATTAGATTGTTGTCAAGGATTGAACTGTGTACCCCCAAAATATGTGTGAACTCAGTTAAGCCATGATTCCTAGTACTGTGTGGTTGTCCTCCATTTTGTGATTGTAATTTTATGTTAAAAAGGATTAGGGTGGGATTGTAACACCCTTACTAAGGTCACATCCCTGATCCAATGTAAAGGGAGTTTCCCTGGAATGTGGCCTGCACCACCTTTTATCTTACAAGAGATAAAAGGAAAGGGAAGCAGAGATGGCGGACCTCATACCACCAAGAAAGCAGCACTGGGAGCAGAGCGCATCCTTCGGACCCGGGGTTCCTGCAGGGAGAAGCTCCTCGCCCAGGGGAAGACTGATTAGAAGGACCATCCTCTAGAGCCGACAGAGAGAGAAAGCCTTCCCCTGGAGCTGATGCCCTGAATTTGGACTTTTAGCCTACTAGACTGTGAGAAAATAAATTTCTCTTTGTTAAAGCCATCCACTCGTGGTATTTCTGTTACAGCGGCACTAGATGACTAAGACAATTGTCATCTCCTGATTCCAGAGCCCTGCTATCTTCTCCATTCTCCCTCTTTTTACCATGCTCCCCTTCCCCACCTGACAATCTTGCTTCAGCACAAGGTTCTGAGGGCTCTCCTCAGATTAGACATTCTTAGACACAAATATTACCCACATTTCCCTTAGCACCTCTCCAAAGCACACAGTTTTGGGGGGAAGGTCAACATTCCATCTCTCCCAGGCTGGCAAGTTCCAATTCATCCTGGATACAGTCTTTTGTTTTCCAAAACCAACTTCTTCCCATTCTCTATGCCTTTTTCTATTTTGACCCTGGGAGTCTTAATCTGAAGTCAGCCCAAGAGCATAGGCTCTCTTCTGTGGTTCACAGTGTCTTCTGTGGTGGTCAGTCTCAGTCTGAGTCCAGCCTCTGTCACTCCCTTGCAGGATGTGACATCTAACATGTTACCCACTGTCTCTGGGACTCAGTTTCCTTACCTTTTAAGAAGGAAGGAATAATAATACATGACTTGACAAGTTCTCCAAGTTGTTTGAAGTGAGGTCACATAAATAAAAATGTTCTGAATAGCAAAAAGCTCTATTAAAAACACATGCTAGGAAGGAGCGCTGAAGCCAACCAAAAACTACCAGTGGCCAAAGCTGGAACAATTTCAGCAACAAAATAAATAATAATAGTATTGGATTATAACCCAAAGTATAAAATAAATATCCAAGAGTCCATACTGATAAGAATAAATTAATAAATGGGAGAGGAAAGACAAATTTCTCCTGCAGTGTTCTAAATAATTGATGTAGATACTCCGTCCTCAAGGAGAGGCAGCCTAATTCCCCACTCTTTAGGTGTGGTGTGAGCTTCGCATAATGACTTCCTTCCAAGAGTACAGTATGGAAAGGGGGAAAAACACTGCTTCGGCCAGGTGATCAAGGTTAATATCAGCGTGAGAAGTGACATTGATAATGTGCACCTTTGATCTGATGTGGTGAGAACTGTACTCTACCAGAGGTTTTCTTCCCAGTAACCCATAACCCCCGTCTTACCACGAGAAAAACATCAGACAAATTCCAATAGCCGGGCATCCTACAATATATCTGACCAACAGAAAAACTAAACCAAACCTGTTGCGCTGAGTCAATTTTGACTCTTGGTGACCCCATGTGTATCAGTGTAGAACTGCCCCATAGGTTTTCTTGGCTGTACTCTTTTTGGAAACAGATCGCCAGGCCTTTCTTCTGTGGCCCCGCCAGGTGAGTTCAAACCACCAACCTTTTGGTTAGTAACCAAGCCCGCTGTACTTGAGTAGATTCTGATGCAAGCACAAACTGCTTGTGCCACCCTCAAAACTGTCAAGATCATCAAAAACAAATAGAGTCTGAAAAACTGCCACAGCTAAGAGGGGCGTAAGGAGATGTGACAACTAAATTTAATATGGTATCCTGGATCGGATCATGAAATAGAAAAAGGATATTAGGTAAAAGTAAGGAAATGTAAATAAACTATGGACGTTAGTTAATAATAATGTATCAATATCGGTTCTTTAATTGTAACAAATGTACCACACTGCATGTTAATAATCGGAGAAACTGGGTGTGGGATATACGGTAACTCTGTAGCATCTTCCCAATTTTTCTGAAAATCTAACACCGTTCTAAAAAGTAAAGTCTATTTTTTAAAAATGATCCCCTTAAACTGGGAAGGAAAAAAAAAAGATGCTAGGGATTATGATTTTAATTAACAGCCAGGAGGCTTAGGCACGGTGTCTGAGACTGATATTTGCTGCATGGACGAACGATTATCATTCTCCCCTCTTCTGATGCACACTCAAATCATTGCGGTATCAAAATCTGGAATGTAGTGGGAATTTGCAAGTGTTTATCTCCCATCTGCCCCACATAGAAAAATTTACACACTCTTCTTAAGGTCAAATAGGGAGGAAATCAGCAGCAGTGCTAATGGGCTGGAGAAGGGGTGAATGCACAGCTCCAAACAGATGTGGCCAAATCGGTTTATTCTGACCAAAAAAAAAAAAAAAAACCCAAAGAAACCACGACTTCAGCGTCGGAGGAGCCCTATTGGGCGTCTATCTACCAGGCTCCAAGCAACGAGACCATCATCCGGGCCCCGCTTACTTGTGGCTCCAGAGATAGCATGGATCGGAACCTGAGTTGGACACGGAAAGACTGGGAAGACCCAAGAGGAAGGGGAAAACGGAGGGTAATAGAGGCACAAGCAGCAGGAAGGATTAGGCTGGGAGGGTGCGCGCGGTGTACTCCACCCACCTCCGACCCTGCCCGGCAGCCCGGCCCCATCCTGCCCCCGCGGCCCGGCGGCCGCGTCCGGTCGCCCCAAACTCCGGGGCGCGTGTCTGAGACTGTTGCTTTGCTGCATTTCTTATCGGACGCCACCTACTCACCGGTTCCGGGTTTCGAGTTGCGAATGCGAGGCTGAGATCGCTTCTCTCCCGCCGCGGTGTGTTCCGGGACCCGGCGCTCTCCGAGCAGCCAGCGCGACAGCGCCCCCCAGCCCCGCAGTCTCCGGGCTCTCCAGGGCCCTCCGGCGAGATTTCTCCTGGGCCAGCCCCGGGATTGGCCCCTGCTAAGCCGCGCCTTCCAATCGGAAGCTGAATATTGTCTACGTCACGATCACCGGGCAAATCCCCGGGATTCTGCGAGGTGTCGGGCAGCAGCTGCAGAGAAAAGGAAACTGAAATCCGTCGAGACAAGGCTGAGCCAGAGCGGCCGCACGGGTTCAGCGTATGCTGCGGGCTTCCCTGTTACAGGCTGAAAACGACCCGAGTTCTGAGGCCTAGGGAGCCAAATGAGTTCCCCAGTAGAGGACTCTAGGGTGCAAGAATGTCCCCCTTCTCCTGAGGCCCTCGCCTTCCAATTCTTGCCTCAGGCTGGATGAGTGCGAAGTGGCGCTCGTCGGGTGCTCAACATGGAATTTGACTCTTCGCCTCCAACGCGGCATAAACTGGCCTCCCGGACCAGGCAGGAACTCAGCAAACGAATCTTCTCAGGGGGCTGTTTACAAAAATTAACTACCATTTATGGAGCGCCTACGCTGAGCAAGGCGCTTTACGTAAATATCCTTAAACAGAGCAGGCATTGTTGCCCCCACTCGACAGAAGGGAAAACTGAGGTTCCGAGAGCTCAGCAGAGCTGTTTCCGCGCTGAATTCAGAAAGTACAGAGCCGGACTCGGGTTCCCAGAGCCCTCCGTGGAGAAGTTTTCACCAGGTTCGGTGCGTCCCAGCCGCCTTCGTCCCCGGAAGCAGACGACGCGGAATCGTCCCAGCTGCCCAATCTGCGCCTGCTTCCTGCTCTGCCTGCTGCTGCCGCACACAGTCCTGTCGCGGGGCCACCCGGTGCTGCCAGGCCTCAGGCACCGCCGCTTAAAAATCCTTCAGTCTCCCGAGGAGGGCGAGGCAACGCTGCGTTCAACCCCTGCGCGCAGCTGGGAGCTGGGTGGGAAGGTTCTCTGGGTCAGCCAGTGCCCTGCCCCCAAGGTTGGACTGGAGATGGTTGGGAGCACAGGTCGCGATTTTGGTTCCTAATGCGTCCCTCGGCATCACTCCCAACCCCTACTCCCCACCCCCACCCGCGCCCCCTGCAGCCTAGGCTTGGGTGAGAAGAGGGTTGCAGCTATGTATGGGGGAGGTATTCATGATGGGGCCCTAAATCCTATTACCTGCCTGGCTTTGTCCCTCCCCTGTGGGGGCTGGCAAAATTTGGAGGAAGTACTCTGGGTTTAAGGAATTAAGTCCCTGGGTGGTGCAACCAGTTAAGGCGCTTGGCTCATAACTGAAAGGTTGTAGGTTCAAGCCCACCCAGAGGTGCCTTGGAAGAAAGACCTGGTGATATATTTCCAAAAAATCAACAGTTGCAACCCCTATATAGCACAGTTCTACTCTGACACACGTGTGGTCACTGTCTTAGGATGGGCTCTCTAGAGAGGCAAAACCAGTGAAGGTGTCTCTGTCTTTCTGCCTGTCTATAAAACCAAAACACCAAACCCATTGCAGTTGAGTAGATTTATCTGAAGGAAATGGCTTAATTGGTTGTGGAGGCTGGCAAGTCCCAAATCTGTGGTCAGGCATCAGGCTGGAGGCTTCTTCTGACTCATGTGGTTGCAGGGCCTGATGAAACCAAATGGGCAGGTCAGATGACAGGCCTGGCCCAAGGCTGCAGAAGCTGGTGAATCAGGACAGATGGCAGGCTGCTGGCTCAAGTCCCAAGAACAGGAGATCAGGTGAGGACCAGCTGAATGCAAAATCCAGAGCAAGTGAACTTTGGTAGAACATCCATGTATATATTGAATGCAGGCCACACCCCAAAGGAAACTCCCTTTTCAACTGATTGACTGCTTACATCAGATCACAAAATGGGGGATGAGTACATCGTTACATAACTGCCAAACCACTGAGAATCATGGCCCAGCCAAGTTGACACACAACTTAACCATCACGATCACCGCGAGTTGGACTGGAAGACAACAGGTTTTTACTCTTGGTTTAGTGTGTTGTGGTGGAGGGGGAGGGTAGTTAGAAGAAACCCACACCCATATCTGACAACCTCCCCATCCTTTTCTCTTTTGTCGAGTGATGTGACTCCTGTTGTCTTCTAGCAGCCCCTCTGGGCTGGGGGAGGTGTGGGCCTCATCTACAGGGCTTGACTCTGCAGGGCCAGTGCTATGGGTGCAGTCTCAGCCCATCCTAGAGGCCCTGGCTTCCACTCTTTTATTTGGTGTCGTGGGAGAAAGTGTGCAAAATATGCCCCTTACATAATTTAGTGCTAATAATCTGATCTCTCCCTATGCCTAGGAGGTACTTGCCCACTGACAGGCCATTCTGTGCATGCTCCAGCCAAACTGCTCACTCATTCCCCGGTTTAAAATTCTCTTACGTCATCTCAGTACACTTAGAGAGACACGGAAGGCCACCGCAGGGCCTGACGTGACCACCCTGCTTCTCTCTCTGACCTCGTTCATGCCAGTGCTCCCTCAATCCCTGTGCTTCAACCCTACTGGTCTTGAAATGCTCTTCCCTAGCATGACTGTCCCCTTCTTGTCAGTCAGTCAGGTCTCTGCTTAATTGTGTAAGGACAAATACAAATTTAAAATAATAGGTTTTATTTCTTCCTGTTGCAAATAAGAGAAAAGGCTCCCCTCGTCCCCTGTTCTTTCAAAATTCACTTTAGATAATTTGTAAATTCCTTCTCTGTCTCTTTGAAAAGTGTGTAAATCGAAGATGTTTCTTCTAGGACCTGGAAACCATCTCTTTTGAGATGTAATCATTAAGGAAGTTCACATTTTACCTCCCAGTTTCCTGGAAGAAGATTAGCATAACTTCAGGTATCTTGCCATAAAAATACTAGAAAATTAGCAATTCTATATTGAAAACGTGAATGTAATGAGTTTTATCTTTTTAGCTATATAAAGGGTCAGTTTTCTTTCTGTCTTTGCAATCTCTAGCAGATTGCCTGTCATGCATCACAGTCTGGTTTAATACTTAGTCAATAATAAGACTTTTCTTTCTCTTCTATTTTTGTGGAAAGGTTTTCTGGGTTGGGAGTAGATTTTGTTTTTAGTAACTTTTCTCCAACAATTAGTACCTTAGAAAGAACTTCCTCCACCACCCACTCTAAATCAGTTCCCTGTCACGAGTTATTCTGTTTCACTTTCTTCATGCATTTGTCACCATTTGAAAGCAGCTTGTTTATTTCTTTGTCTGTGTGTTTATTTTCCACACACCGCCTCCGTGTAAACCCCATGAGAGTGGAGACGTCTTGTCTTCTGTGCACATGGCCGTCACTCAATAAATATATGTTGAATAAATGAGCTCTGCTTGGACATTTCTGGAAGCTTTCTGAAGCCATGTGGCCTTGCTCGGCCACAGTATCAGTCATGCACTTACCTTTCCCACCACACTACACCTTAGCTGACACAGCTTCTTAAGTTCAGGTAAGAGCAATAGAAATGGTCCCAGTGACGCTGGGAACTCCAGGCTGACTTAATAGCCAGAGGGAGTTTTGTAGCAGCACAAGGAGGTGCCTGCCTCTGTAGCTGCTGGGCACTCAGACCCACCAGCTCCCCTGCGAGGTTCTGAAAGCAGAGTTAAAATCCCTTCCACTAGCTCTCCAGCCTTGTGATCATACCAGATGGAGGCCAGGGCAGTAGATGGGGCTGGTTAGGAGTTTGGGGTTGGAGTCAGACTACATGGGCTCAAATCCTCCTCTCTACCACTTTTTTTTTTTTTTAATTTATTGTGCTTTAGTGTACAGTATAAGTTACTCATTCAGAAATTTATACGCTAATTGTTTTGTGACATTGGTTGTGATCCCTGCAATGTTACAGAACTCTCCCCCTTTCCACCCCGGGTTCCTCGTGTTCATTTGTCAAGTGTTCCTGTCTCTTCCTGCCTTCGTCTTGCTCTTGGGAAGGAGTTGCCCATTTGGTCTCGCATACTTGATGGAACTAAGAAGCATGTTCCTCACGTGTGTTATTGTTTGTTTTATAGGCCTGTCTAATCTTTGTCTGAAAAGTAGGCTTCAGTTCTGAGTTAGCAGGGTGTCTGGGGGGGCATAGTCTCGGAAGTTCTCTGCCACTTTCTGTGTGACTTTGGGGGAGTTGTTCAACTCTGTGTGGCACAAGTTCTTTCTCTGCAAAATGGAGATAATAATTACATCCACAGTTATAAGAATTAAATGAGATAATACGTGTAAAACATTTGAAACAGTAAATATTGACAAGGCCAGAGAGTAAGGAGCCCTGGTGGATCAGTGGTTACGCACCCAGCTGTTCTTGTAGGAGAAAGATGTGGCAGTCTGCTTCTGTAAAGATTACAGCCTTGGAAACCTTATGGGCAGTTCTACTCTGTCCTATAGGGTCACTATGAGTCAGAATTGACTTGATGGCAATGGATTTTTAGGCCAGAGAGTATGATATAATCACTTGCATTTGAAGTGAGCATCTTAAATCAAGCAAGAAGGTTTAGTTTGTTGCTTGAGCAGCTCTGGTTCCTCTAACCTGAGGAAGAACTAGGGACTACCCTCTAAAAATGACTTTGCATAGTATAAGTGTATCGAGAGAAAATATGGCATTCAGAAATCTCAGAGTCTTAAAAATGCTAGTTTGCTTGGAAAGAGGCCTTCCAAATAAACAATAAATACTTAAGTGTAAAGTTCTCATGGTAAAGGTGCAAAGAATTTGAATCTTTTGTGAGAAGAGTACCAGGGTATTCTAGCCAAAATGAATGAATGGATGATATTCTCTACAAGAAACGCTAAAAGTTACAGGAACTAAACTGAGTTTTAAACCAGTATTTCTCTTTTTCCATCACAGGCTTAAACTAATAAACAGACAACTTTTGTGCTTCAAAGAACTGGCTGCTCTTGTACTAGGAACGTTCTGCAGGCTAAAATATAGCAGGCTTAACTGTCACTTTTAAAAGGAAAAAAAAAAGGTACTTTTGAATGCTAATAGGATTAACTTCCAGGTTTCGTATAGAAAGAAGTAGGCTGTCTGGACAGAGCTGGAGAAAAATATAGAACAAAATTCTAACTCACACACACATAAAAAAAGATCAGACTTACTGGTACGACAGAGGCTGGAGAAACTCCAAGAGTATGGTCCCCAGACACCCTTATAGCTTAGTAATGAGGTCACTCCTGAGGTTGACCCTTCAGCCAAAGATTAGACAGGACCATAAAACAAAACGAGACTAAATGGGCACACCTGCCCAAGGGCAAGGACGAGAAGGCAGGAGGGGACAGGAAAGCTGGTAATGGGGAACCCAAGGTCAAGAGGGGAGAGTGTTGACATGTCATGTGGTTGGCAACTAATGTCAGAAAACAATATGTGTATCAGTTGTTTCATGAGAAACTAATTTCCTCTGTAAACCTTCCTCTAAAGTACAATTTAAAAAAATTTTTAAAAAAAAAAGGAGTAGGCTGAGCCAATCTCTTATATGAATTTTTTTCTTTTAAAATACTTTGTATTCCAAATTTGGGGCTTTTATATTAAATGCCTTTTAGCTAAAAGTTAGTGAAAATACATTGCATGGTAAACAATGGTAAATACAACTTTTAACTTTAAAATTTCTAAGAATTTTAAACCTTATATGGTGATGGTACAGCAGGAGCTGTTAGCAATAGCACAGACTCCTCCTTGTTGAGCTAGGAGGAAATCAATAGTTATTCTATTATCTAATACTACTTAAAAAAGGGATTCTGAAGACTTCTGTTGGGCTGCCATTCCATCTGCAATATTA